ATCCCTGATATTGTTTTCGATTTGTCTATCACTGGGGCTTTCTGGAAAAAAATATCAGGGATGACATCCCATGATTTCTGATATACTTTTGATATATTAACTTGTATATATATATATAAATGGTCAAAGTTTATGCAAACTGCAGTGTGTGTGTGTGTGTGTATATATATATATATATATACACCGAATCGCTAAAACTTTGACACTTTAAAGATATATATACATATATGTGTAACCCCATTTTTTCTATTGTCATACCTGGATTTTCAAGGAAAGACAATAGGAAAAAGGGGATACATATATATGTATATATACACCGGATCGCTAAAACTTTGACAATTTAGCGATATATATACATATATATGTATCCCCTTTTTCCTATTGTCTTTCCTTGAAAATCCAGGTAAGACAATAGAAAAAAGGGGGATACACATATATGTATAAATATTGTTAAAGTGTCAAAGTTTTAGCGATTCGGTGTATATATAATTAACCCATTTACAGTACAGGCTTTTTAGGTATAGCAAAGCTAATCGAGCTAGAAAGCTATCTAGAGGAAATTGACAAACGTAAGGTCGCAAAATTAATAAATAACAAGAAGAGTAAACTTAATTAATACAATAAATAAAAAGGAAAAACAAGCAAACAAACAAAAAATGAAAATGAAAGCAAGCGAGTCGTATAAGTGCTTAATATAGAAGAAATTATATGTTTCTTAAATCGAGATCTAGAGAAGCTTTAACACCTACTTATCTAAGATTGAATTTGCCATAATTCGTTTTAACAGGTGGGGGATCATAATAATCATTTTTAATTATTATGATTGTGTATAGTTTTACACTCTTAAAAAAGTCATTAAAGACTGATGGAAGATTGTAATTAAAATAATGATACATAAATAAAGAATTATGAAGTGAAATAAGATCCAAACATTTARTGATACTAAGTTGTTTAAATAGAGGACTAGTATGAGCATCAAAGTGTGAAAAAATGATAATTCTTACTACCCATTCCTGGAGAGTAACAAGTGGATTTAAATTAGTTACATAGGTATTACCCCAGAGAATTAAACCATAAGTAAAATAAGSATAAATTAAAGAATAATACAATTGTACAAGTATTTTAGGTGTAACAAATTTACGAATTTTAAATAAAGTGCCTATACTTCTTTTAACTTTCCCTGCTATATAATGGATGTGATGTTTCCAATTTAGATTGGAGTCTAAATAGAAACCCAATTACTTCACTGTTTTTACTTCCTTAATACTTTTACCATTTATGTGTAAATTAATATGAAAGTTTAGTTTTTTTTGCCGAGGATGAAAAACAACAAAGTGACAGCCTATTACAACACAACCAATTACTTATGTCTTTTAACTTATCATTAATTAGTGACTCAAGAGCTTGTAGGCTCTTATGAGAACTAAAAATATTGGAATCATCTGCAAATAGATGAAATTCCAACATTCCAGCACACATGTTAAAATCATTAATGTACAATAAGAACAACAAAGGACCTAACACAGAGCCCTCAGGAACACCACAATTTACATCTAGTAACTTAGAAGCTATGCCACCAACAGAGACATATTGTTTCCTGTTATTCAAATAAGAAGCAGACCAGTAAGTCTAGTAATTCCTCTAATTCCATAGTGATAGAACTTCTTAATTAAGATATCATGATTTTTATTACGTTATCAAAGGCTTTACTTAAATCTAGAAAGATACCACATAAATAAAGACCATTTTCAATTGCCATTTGGTTTTGTCAACAATTAGCAAAGCAGCATGAGTAGTGGAGTAGTAGTATAGGGAATGGGGGTTCCAGCGCAATCTCAACACGGGCAAGCCCCGTGTCAAAAATCCACCTACGGACNTCAAAAAAACCCTGGATCCGCCCTTGGGATGTGATGTTTCCAATTTAGATTGGAGTCTAAATAGAAACCCAAGTACTTCACTGTTTTTACTTCCTTAATACTTTTACCATTTATGTGTAAATTAATATGAAAGTTTAGGGTTTTTTTGCCGAGGATGAAAAACGACAAAGTTTGTTTTATCAATATTAAGTGACAGCCTATTACAACACAACCAATTACTAATGTCTTTTAACTTATCATTAATTAGTAACCCGGTCTACCCTGCCACCAGGGCCTTGTTTAAAAACTTGAATAAGTATCTAAAACTCATAAGTCGAATGGTTTCAGATCGCTTTGAAGTATTGACCTTAAACGTAATAATTCATTCCCCCAACTCGTTTTTGAAAAGGCTAATATACCGATAGCTTTGCAAGTCAAGCGTTTGAAATTCGCGCGCTACTCCACTGCGCGTATTCACGTGAGTATTCACTCCAGTCCTGATGCAGAAACCAACAGAAACGATTGAAACGAAAAAAACCCTTTTGATCGACGTCCACCAAAACTCATTTTTTTCGTTTGTGATGAAGGTCTCGTTGGTCCTCTGTGGCTAGTGGGAATCGCAGCAGCCAAACCATGCAACTAGTCTTTGTCGAATTTATACTGAGATGCGAACAGGTTTTGAATCAAAGTTAAGTTTTATAATGTTTTGGTTTTCAAAGCCAGCACTTTTCGCTACTAATAGGTCATATTCGCTACTAATAACTTATATTCTAGTAGTAGCTCATCCAATCAGAACGCAGCATTGATAAAATACCACTAGTTGGTTTTGACTAAAATATCCGTTATTGTCTGGGTGGAATAACAGAAAATCCAACAATAGTTAACCCGTCAGACCAGATATCTGTTTTGGCAAGTATTGAACTTATTCCCGACCTTAGTCCTAATGACTTAGTTTACAGAAAATTAATATGCAAATGAGCAGTTTTCAAGAAACTGACGCAGTAACAAATTGATAATCTAATTTTAAGAGTAGTTTTGAGATCTAACAGTTACAAAATAACTGAAAGTGTTATTCTACCACTGAGTGCCACTGAGTGCCACTGAGTGCCACTGAGTGCCACTGAGTGCCACTGAGTGCCACTGAGCTTGTGTTCAAAGGTAGCTAGTTTTTATTTTTCTTTCGACGGCCAAAGCGGAAAAACATGTTTTGGTAGTTTGGTATATCGTATCAATTATTACCGTGTTGGCGGCATCGAAGATCGAAAATGTATTTCGAAGTTTCGTTTCGGTTATTCTTACGACTCTTTCCATATGTACAGTCTTAGCAGAAATCATATTTTATCATTTTTCAGTAGTGTTTACATTTGTTCCCTGTCGACTGCGTTTCAGTGTCAGTTCACAAATATTAAATGACCAAGAAACAAATCTTCTTAAAGACCTCACAGGCAAATTGAACTCATAAAACGTTTGATAAAGTTTCTTAAAACTAAACATAACAGATCTTTCCCGTCCAATCCAGTTATTTTCGCAGTCACATTTTAGTGATTTATTACATAAATTATCGGCGCTTTTTGTTTCCATCCCGCATGTCAATGGTTTAGTGTTTTCGACTATTCCAATAATGTAAAACAGTCAGTTTTAAACAGTTGAAACTTATTTAAAAGGTCTTTAACAATTAGCCGTAACAATTCAAAAAGCATAACTTTACCTTGTTGAACAGGTTTGAGATCTTTTACGCTGAAACTCTTGAAAATCCAGACGCCTTTCTTCTAAGAAAACAATTCGAAGCGAAGCGAATCGAAGCAGGAGGTGACTCGTAGACTCGAGTCTCTAACATAKGGTAATGAGCCGTTTGACTGACGTCACTAAGTTTTAATATGCTTCCCATCTTGAATTACACAAGACCGCATGTGACGACTACCAAAGCCGAGAAGGGACTTCAGAGATAAAAGTCTCAGAGATAAAAGTTTCAGAGATAAGACTTATTATGCAATGACATCAAGTCTTTGATTCGTCTCCTTTAGATCGATTCGTATGCATTGCGCACTCCGTTTTAGTCCCTATGTTTTGGTAAGTAAAAGTCATTCAATGAATAGACGACTTGCACTAAGAGGTCACGTGATCAAATCGGCCATTGTGGCTGGCATTTTACAGAATTTTAGCTAT